TCTACATTTAAATGCTGTGATTCTCATGGCATGGCTCTAGATTATTCTGATTGCGAAGCCTGGGCCAGACACTAACTGCACAAGAAGAAAAGGACGCTTCATGGTGTGGGCATTTGCAACTCTAATTCGGTAAAGATTGAGGTCTAACACATTAAAGATATCAATAAAATAGGTCAAGTGGACTAGTATCGCTGATGATTAAATTAGCTGACTCAAGGCTGGATGAAAGTGAAAACACCTTGTTGGTGTCATTTAAAGTACACCAGCCAGGCTTTTCTCTCTTGGAATCTCTAACTGATGTCTCCCTTCATCTCTTTTGAAGAGAACTTTCACTGTGTTGATACTACCTTCAAGCCCAAGAAGAAAGTGTGTATTTATCTACACATAGCTACCAAATCAAAGTAGTGTGGAGTCCATTAGTGCAGAAACGTTGCAGTGTGTTCTGTTTTCCTTTTGCTTTTAATTCTATAAAGCTCTTGGTAACTTCACCTAAAGACTTTTTTGCATCCAATATTGATGCAAAATAATATGTCAATTTTTTCACCTACTAAAGCAGTAAGGTTTTTTTTGTTTGTTTGTTTTTGTTGTTTTACTAAAACACAGAGTGGAGGGAAGAAAGCACACTAAATGTAACAAGTCTTCAGGATGTTTTTAAAGCACAGCTTATGCCAGTCAGTCTCCCCTACACCAGTGCTGGAGCTACGGAGGTGCCGATCATACATTTTGTGGGATTCGTGTTTCATCTTTTTAAAATCTATGTTTCGCATGAGCACATACATGATTGCTTTCTTTTTTGTCCTTGAAAAACAGTCATGTTCCTAGTGGAGGATACTTTTAATTACATTTTCATTGTATCTTTAGTGAAATCATGGTAGTGGACAGGTCAAGAATTGACTCCATGTCATGAGTGGGTTAACACTCAAGAATAGTACGTATTGGGCCTGGGAGATAGCTCAGTAGAATAAGTGCTTGCCTGGCAAGCACAAGGTCCTGAGTTCAATCCCCAGCACATCAATCAATCAATCAATCAATCAATCAATTAATAAATGAATAGTACATGTTATAAATAGATAAGAATAGAAAGTGTGTGTGATTCCAGAAATCTTAGAGCCCTCTTATTAACTCATAAAATGCAGGATGGAAACTACCAAAAAAGAAAGTAAAAAATTAGATGGAACATGGAGTCAAGAAAATCCAGGCAAGTTTTCCCACTCAAAGTCGCCTCTTTCATCTTTTGGAAAGTATGTAAACTGGGTAAATAAAATATCAAATTACAAGTACTTCAGGCATTTGAAAGCCATTTGCCATCTTGTGTGACTGTTAACTTTCTTAATCCTTTGCATTCTTTCCAATGAAAGGGAGAACATTATATCTTATGTTGTCCTAATGTGTTGTGAGTTAATATTTATTTAAAGCTATTTAAGTTAAAAATGGTCTCTAAAGAAAACAGTGATAATCTTGTTCATTAAACCAAAGGAAAATTTACATTTGTGAATTTGACAACCTTTAACCAACTATTTCATAATCATAATCTTAGGAAAAAATTGTTAAAAAGTCCTGTCATCTTACACATGAAATACTTAGTTCTTCACTTTTTTTTCTCTCTGAATGTCGCTGATTTTGTTTAATTTTTTAAACACACAGTAGTGCTTCATGTTTGAGACAAAACTAATTTTCTTTCTTAGAGGAATGCAGGTCAGAGCAGGCAGATGTTTAATATTACTTGTTTACTTTGATTTTACCTTTAATACATCTAAGGACTTAACAAGCTAATGTCTGGTTAAGTAATTAATGAAAAGGTCGAAATTTGGATTGATGTCATAGGCTTTTCCAAAATAATTTCTGTACCAGCAAGAATGAACAGTGAACACAACATTGCACCCAGAGCTTCATAAACACATGTTTTTTTTAGCAGTATAGTCAAGAAGTCAACTATCAATGATTTATTTGTGTTTTTCAAAGTATAAATAGTAGGCAGCCTGCTTAGACAAGCTCAGGGTTTGATGCCTGCTACCACATGCCAGGCCAGTCCCACCCCCAGGTGCTCTGAGCCAGCCACCGAGTCCGGGGATGGTGGCGCACACCTGTAATCCCAAAGCTGGGGAGACTGAAAACAGGAGGATCACTACTAGTCTGAGCTGCATAGTGAGACCCTGTACCGAATACATTTAAAAATAAAATTAAATAAATAGATAAATAAATAAAAGTATGGATAGCATTAGATCACAAGATTTCCATGATTTAACTTTTGGAAATACAGGATTGAAATTTTGGAGTCGAAAATTTTACTGAAAAAATATTTATCATTCAGAGTGTGATTTAGGTATGTGAAAATGGGAGGAGGGGTTATAACTAAATAGAAATAGGATGCCACCTGTAAACAAAGTTCAGAGTTTGAAAACAGAATAGAAGTAGCAGAAGGTACTCCAGAATTCATCAGTTTGAAAATAAGAAACAAAACAGTTTTCTTCTCTAATGCCAAGAAAGCACGAGAGAGAGAGAGAGAGAGAGAGAGAGAGAGAGAGAGAGAGAGAGAGAGAGAAGGAAAGAGGGAAGGAGGGAGAGAGGGAGGGAAGGGAAGGAGATCAATTAAGGCCACAGCCATAGCACCAAAAGGCGTGCCTCCATTTAAAACAAAGGAATTTGATATTGGCTCTTTCTTGTCAGTTAGAAAAGGATAGGCAAGAACATTTTAACATGGAACAAAGAAAATGTTTTAAGAGATTAACCTGTGAAATCTACTTGTCACAGAAAAATTTGTGCGATTACAACTGAATGAGCTAAATGCTAAAAACTATCCTACCACGTAGAAGCTTTGCAAACAGAATTATAGTATGTGCAGTGTTCTGGGGCCTATCAACCTTTGCTGATACGGCCAGTGACCTGAGAGGAGTTAGCTCTGCCAAGGAGGAGAGAAACTGGCAGAACAATTCAGCACCCAAGGAAAGATTAACAGCTCATTTTTCTAATTTGGTACCAGGAATTGAACCTAGGGGCTTTGCACTTTTTATGTTTTACTTTGAGACGAGGTCTTACTAAGTTACTCCATTACCCAGGCTGGACTTAAGCTTGCCATCCTTCTGCCTCAGCCTCCAGAAGGGCACTGAGATTCCCGGCACATGCCAACATGCCAACGTGCCAATATGCCTGGCTTCAAAAGAGGCTCGTTAATGATGCAAGCGCAAGCTTTTGTGTACTTGAGCTAAGTGGAGATTTAACAAAATAAAGACTCATTGTGGACATACTTGGGAAACAGCCTTTGAGAACTTGATTATGTTGAGGTAAAATGACTGCTTGACTTCCTTGAGAAATTTCTTACCTGACTACTTCCAAAAGTTCTCAAAGTTTGGAATATTTAATGTTTTAGAGAACTGGGACTTACCTACCCAAAGACACCCCACCTTCCTTTTTGGTTGAAATATATCAATTTAAATGACTCTGTAAAGTGAATATTTAATAGTCTCCACCCATAATTTAGAATAAATAAATTACTTGACTTTCTTGTAAAGCTGCTCTGCTGATGAGCAGAAAAACGAAGCTCGGTGATTTGCCTCATTTTGCTGAGATCGATTACTCTGAGCACTCTATCTGCTAAGAGGGAGTGCTCATTTTTAAAAAATAACTTATCAAAATGTTAGCTAAAACAATTTTTCTCTTTAAAGCTCTATTTCAAAAGACTTTATTAGGCAAAAGTTATCTTCAACTGCTTTCATTAAATTTTGAATTCAGCAATAAAATTTGGTGGAAGTCTGATTTGTCTTCCTGTAAATGTGCCCCTATATGATATTCTTGGTTTTACCTCATGTCACACACAGCTTAAAATATTCAATCCTTTGACCTTTTGCAGTAAGAGAGTGGTGACCTCTCCTTTCATTCATTCATTCTGTTTTTCTTTTTTAATTTACTGGTGTGTCCATTAAGTAAATAATTTGTGAGCTATTCCAATGCGCCAGATGTTATTCTAGCCCTTGGGGACACTATAAGAAGCTAGATTTAAAAAGACAAATCCTGCACTCACAGGAGTTGCATTTAGATTATCTATGTTATCTCTGAACAACTGCCCCATGTGGAAGGTTCTGTTATTCTCGTGACTGATACAGTCAGTGTGAAGTGCAGGGCACTTGGGCAGCTTGCCTGAGTCTCTGCCCGAAACAAGCGCCTCATGCCTGATTCCAAGGTCTGGGCACTGTACAATCAGTGAGCAAAACTGACTTCGAGGTCTGGTCTTCACACGTGGCTTAATAGTATGGAGTCAAAATCTTGAAGTTCTTAGTAGTTTCGAACAATAGTTTCTGGCCAAATAATGTAGCCAACTACAAGACAAAAGTGCTTCTACTCCAATCTCAGACCACCTTTATGCTTGAACTCTTTCCAAACACTTCCATAAATTTATCTATCTAGAAGCTTTGAAATATGTTACATTCTTTTTTTTTTTTTTTTTTTTTTTGTACCAGGGATTGAACTCAGGACCCTGTGCTTGCCAGGCAGGGGCTTATTCTATTGAGCTATCTCTCCGACCCCTATTATACTCTTTAGAAACATAAACTGTTTGAGATTCCAGTCCACCCAAAGAGTGGGAGCTACGTGAGGGCTCCAACTCACTTCCCCAGTAACTTTTTGCAATTTCTTTCGTATCTAACACCTTTGACAGTACAGTTAAGTAAACCATAAATAATCCTTGGCAGAATTAAAAATGCTATTAAAATTTGAACTTTGTCAAAAGTCAGGATAAGCCCTGAATTGGTTTTCTTCTATGGAAGAACAAAATATTTACCATCCAAGAAAAAAAAATGTCCTATTTTTATGCATCTGTCAGTTTTGAAATTGGATAGCAGCTTTGACTTAAGCAAAACATAATTGACCCGGCCTTCTATAAGGAAATCCTTTGTCCTGCAGACAGGACTGAAACACTTGACAGCTTGAGAAAAGGTACTTGAGTAAAGGTTGTGTTCCCTAATTGTTAAAATAAGTGTTTTTGTCTCCTCTTTCATTTCCTCCAGCCTAGTCATTGTTGGTTGCGCCAGACGGTAATGCAGTTGTCAGTCAGCTTAACTAATCTTCTGGACAAGTTTTCAAATATTTCTGAAGGTCTGAGTAATTACTCTATCATAGACAAACTTGGGAAGATAGTGGATGACCTTGTGGAGTGCATGGAAACCTCATTTAAGGTAACTGCATGCTCATCGGGATTGCTTTTTGATTACTCTTCATTAAAAATCTATGTTAACTAAAGGCGCTAGGAATGTGAAGGCATCTTGCTTTTGTGTTAGTTTGAGTTTGAAATTTTTGACCTTAAAAACATTTTAAAATGAATACAGAAAATGAGTGTTTATAGCCATACTGCAACCCTGAAGTGCACCTTTAGACTTAAATGTCACCTCATTTGAAAATAAAATTTCTTCCCTCTACAGGTTAGCTTTGTTTTTATTTCATACGTGAATGAAGTCTACACAAAGAAAGTAGCGTGTGCATAGGAGCTTTCAAGATGAGTTAGGTGTTCAACAAATGGCAGGGTTGGAAAGGATATTGAAAATGTGGTTAAATTTTACCATTTGTAGAGTATTTCACTGATTGAGTATTCCAGTACTTACCAAACTGCTCTCCTTCTCATGGGTCTAAGGTTATAATGGTGCTAGGAACTCTCTTCTATGTCTTGTGGTGCATATGTACCAAGAGTCCCACTAGAGTATATAACTAGGAATGGAATTTCTGAATTACAGCATGGGCACATGTTCAGTATATTAGATAACATCAAAAGTACTAACTGCAATATATAAGAATTCCCCACTCTACACCTGTGTTAATGTTTAGTATCATAAGATGTCTTAATTTTGGGACACTGAAGCACATATTAAGGAGGGCTCTTAAGTCAACACTAATTTTTTTTCTCATACACGTGTTGAATGCCAGATTACACATACTAGGCAAGTGCTCTACCACTGAGCTACATCCCAAGCCTTTTCTTTTATCTTCTTTCTTTGAGACATGTTCTCTCTCCATTGATCAGATTATGAGCTACCTGCCGCAGCCTCTCAAATAGCTGGGGTTATAGCATGGAGCACTGCACTGAGAAACACGACTGTTTGGATGAACATCTCTAAAAAATAAGTCCTCAGTTTGTTGTCAGCATTATTTCCCTGTTGGGACATTATTTTCCCTCCACCACCCCCGAGGCTCACTTGCTAGGTGCCGTCACCGGTTTCAATTAATATTGATTCAAAGAGCAATCTAGATGTTTCTGCTATTAGATAAGATTTAGATATTTGAATCCTTGCAAGATGCATTTATAACCCCATTTAATTTGACCTCAGTTATGCTAAGTGACATAGACTATTTGAAAGTTGTAGTTTTCAATTTTGTTTTGGTTTTCCTTCGTGTTTTGTATAGAATGTAAAAGAATCATCCAAAAGGCCCGTGCCAAGGAATTTTACTCCTGAAGAGTTCTTTAGAATTTTTAATAGATCCATCGATGCCTTCAAGGATTTTACGGTGCCATCTGAAACTAGCGATTGTGTGCTTTCTTCAACACTAAGTCCCGAGAAAGGTAAGCCCCACAAAACTCTCCATTTGAAGTGGAAATAGTGAACCTGAACTTTAAGACTCTACTTCTAAATCAAATGTCTGTCTAACAACACAAAGACGCAGTGTAGCATTCTGATAAATAAGTGAATGTCAGTGGTACAAGAGAAATGAATGATTGTGTATTTGCTGTTTTCTATGACAAACATTTAATCATTTTTCTATTAAAAATTTGTGTGTGAGTAAATAGTATATGCAATGGTCACTCATGTATTTTCTACCTGATACTTGCTAGTAGAATACAATTATATTATTCTTTACCTCCAGTTTCCTTAATGTTCCCTTCTCAGACCCTTCCATTAAGCATCTAATTCTGTACACGAATTCTGATTTCTCATGAGTCATTCTATATTGAGAACCCCTTTCCGGGTCACTTAGTCCCTATCACAAAAATTTAATTGTTTTGTTTTTCAAATGACATCATATGTATGCCATAAATATTTGTTCTACAAGGTGACTGTGGTGAATCTTTTAATAAAATAGAAGGGCAGGACTCAGAATGAAATAAATAGGATCTGCATAATCTCTTTAAAGGAAACAGACCTGGCACATGCTCTGGTAGTTGCCCTTCTCCTTTTGAGGTCTCTGTTATTCCTATACATCACCATGCAACACTGACACATTATTGCTTTCTATTTAGATTCCAGAGTCAGTGTCACAAAACCATTTATGTTACCCCCTGTTGCAGCCAGCTCCCTTAAGAATGACAGCAGTAGCAGTAATAGTAAGTACATATCTGATTTAATGCATGCATGGCTCCAATTAGCCACCATAGGAGTATTGCATGGGCTTTAAAGGAAACTTATACAATCAGTATTATTATTAACAATGTTCTGTTATTCCTCATCTGATCTTCCTGAGAATTAAGTCCTTGGCTTGTATGCTGTGTTTCCCTCATGTTTTGATATGTACAGAGAATTGGGCCAGTAGATTATCTGCTGAGATTGTGTTAAATAAGGCATGGAATTAATTTTAAATGTAATTTAAACTTTTATTCACTTTAGACAAATACATTTTGTGGAGAATGTGCCTGACAAAATGGAATTTTAAAATTGAAAATACAAATGTTTTCATTGTATCATCCTACGGATATTTTTAGTTTTGTCTGTTTGGGTATCAGTATGTGGCATTGTATGTTTGGAGGTTTGATGATTTTGTTATTCTACTCCAAATTCTACCCCTAAATACATTCTACCTAAATGTAGACATTGGTAAAAAATACACTTCTATACCTGAAATTTCTGTTATTTGGCTAATAATCCAACTTTCTGGAATACTGTCTTTTCAAATTCAGGCAAAGATCATTATAAAGCTTATTGGATTTACTAGATACTCTTTCAGCCTCAGGGAAGCTACAGAAAGAAAAAAAATCTGGTCATTTTTGCTAAAAACATCATCCCTTTAGACGTGCAAATGAGATTAGGGTTGGCATTTGTTCGAGGACGCAAAAGACCATTCTTAAGAAAGATGCAAGCATTTTACTACAAATGCATAATAGCATGTTTACAACATTGAATTAAGGAAGCCCACAGAATTAAAATTCATTTTAGAATTTTCCTACCCAAACTTGTCCTCAACTGAGATAAAGCTAGCTGTGTATAATTTTATCCTTCTAAGAATGAGTATTTTTGCATTTTAGTACAGAACTATGAACATATTTGTTCTTAGGGCACTATCTAGAAGTCTCTAATATTCAGTAGTCTATGATATACAATATTAAAAGTCTATACTATGCAGTATTTTCATGAAAAAAATCTCATAAAACCTAAAATTCTGAAGGACATATACATCAAACCAGGCCTGAAAAGTCTCAAAGAGGACTGCGATTATAGCTGTGTACGGATGTCAATTTCGGCCTTTCCAATGAAAGAAGCTTTGATTAAATTCTGTTTGTATTTTACTGATTTTAATCTTTATTATTTGTTTCCTTCCTACTTTGGTCTTAATTTACTCACTTTGGTTTTGATTTTTAAGGCGCAAAAATTGTATCATTGATTTTTTAACAAGTTTTTTCCCAGTTTCTTAAAGTTATGAATTACTTTGTAGCATTACTTTTGCTATGTTCCACACACTCTAATACATTTTTGTAAACTTTTCTTTATGATTTTTTTCAAGGTATTTTAATTGTGATTTTTTTTTTTGATTCATGGGTAATACAAAAGTGGGTTGTCTAGTGCCCAAACTGTCAGAGTTTTCCTACATATTTTGTTATTTGTTCCTAAAGTCTGTCGCCACCTGAGATTGCAGTTTAAATTCTTCTTAAATTTATTGAGAATTATGCATATTATTCAACTATTGAGAGAAGTTGAATAATTTGAAAAAGTAGCTTGATGCTATTATCCATATTTTTTCCTTATTCCTTTTTTGATCCAATTTTTTATCAATTGTTTAGAAAGTTAAATTAAATTATTTCTTTTTAACCATAATCTTTCTTTTTGCTCTATCTATCTATCTATCTATCTATCTATCTATCTATCTATCTATCTATCTATGTATTTAAACCAGCTATATTTATTTTCATTTTGATATTCACTGTGTAGTCACGTAAGTTATAAACTCCGTAATCTAGTCTTTCAGTTCTTTTGAAG